GGGGGGGGTACTCAAGTCGAGGGAGGCATGGTCAAGCAGGAAGATTGTAAAATGTTTCCTGTCTTGGTCGGAGAGACTGGTTGGGCACACTTGGTCGAGTGCGTGTACATGTATGCACACGACTTCCCAGTGGAAAACGTATCTTTCGTGTGTTGAAAAACTCACGCACAACTCTTTCTTTGCGTTGCTTGGTGTCGCCGCCCCCGCCGCCCCCGCTGCTGCCGTTCCTTCCCTTCCTCCGATCACGTCCACCCCACTCAATACAAGCACGAGCGTGTACAACGGCACCAGCGGAAGCCATCGGCTGGCCTACCTGCCGCTATCCCCGAACTCGTCTATCGACTCCACCCCGGGGAGCAAGGATGTCGGGGGGGGGGCTTTCGCGCCTGTCGGGACCCCGCCGGGATCACCTCCAAGGTCTCCATCGGTGAGCGAGCATCTTGGTTACACCTTCCGCACGCTGTTGAAACTCAGCGGCTTGCATGAGGGGGGGTGGCATGCCTTTGTTGTTAGGCCGTTGGCCACGCGTCCTCGAGACGAGACGGCATAGCTTGGGGGTTGTTTTGGGATTACGTTTGTGCACCTGGCGGTGCGCAGCTTGCTCCCACCCGCACGCTATTGAAGTCCGCAGCTTGCTGGGGGCACGTCCGCATGTTTTACACGCCTCAAGTTGTAAGACCAATTGACGACGCGTCCTCGAACGTGGGGGGAGGGGGGGGGGGGTACTCATAGTCGTGCATGCCGTAGTCGTTAGACCATTGACCTCGCATCCCTACAAAGCCGGGACGGAGCACGCCGGGTTCTCACCGGACCAGGCTCTCACATCACCAAGCGCGAAGCGCCGTGAGATATTCGGCGAGTCGCATGAAGGGTGCGCTGCATCCTGCTAAGGGTTTTCGGCATCTTGTGCTTACTTCCTTGCGTACGGATGACAGCTGCGTATGAATTAATTTATTTTCTGGTGCTTTCACTTCCAGAGACAGTTGTAAGCACTGTGTAACTGCCTCGAGGGTGCT